TCTGTTATTATAAAAAAGTATAATGTTATAATAATACAATAGGGTAAAACCTGCACAGCTAGCTAATAAAACCCACATTAATTGGCTAGATTAGGTAAAACCTGAAATAGCAATATAAAATTTGCATTCATTATTTAAAATATATAAAACCTGATATGCTTAAAGTAAAATTTACTTTTGCTTTATTTTTACTATATAAAAACCACTTTTACTTGGATAAAATTTACTTTTTTTATCTTTTTATTTGTAAAATCTACTTTTTCCTAGGTGAAATCTGTTAAACCCTATAACAAAAATTTTGATTAATGGTTAGATAATCATCTTCTTATCTCTAAATCTCTAAATGCACTTCTAATTTCTGATTCAAATATATACTAGACTCTCATTAATGCATTTTTTATTAAAAGTTCAGTCTTTTTGGATGCATTTAGAGAGATTTCTATATACAAGAGTGCTAATGGTACTATACTGAAAGTTATTTAAACTTGCAGATCTAACGTTAAAAAGGTATTTATAATACTTTATTAACTTCTACAAATATAAACAAAACAAGCTTGGCACTTAATATATAATCCTTTTATGAGTAAGTATGAAAAATTTTAGCATGTTTTTGTTGCATAATACCTGGGCAGCACTTTAGAAAATCTAATATTATATAGAAATGCATATAAGCATGGCATTTTACAGTTGTTTTCATAAATTCTGAAATACTAAAAAATTTGCTAATAACAATTTCAGCTGAATTCAATAGTTATTGATTTTAGTATTACACAATATAGACAATGTACTTGTGTAATATCGAAGAATATCAAAATTAATAACTTTATTGAATTTAGCTAAAATTATTATCAGCAAATTTTTTAGATGTCTTAGAATTTATGAAAATAGCTGTAATGTAATCCTGATATAACAATTCAAGATACAAAAGGCTGTAATTGTGAGAAAAGGCTTCAACTTAGAATTAGTGCATATAATCGCTTTATTGATCTTATCTAATAGATTAGATAATATCAAAAAATATGTGGAGGAGGATTTGGTTCTGTATATTCTGCAGCCTAGTTAGTATAATTATTTATTTGTGTCAGAAGGTTTCAACTTTGAACTAATTTATGTAATTGTATTACTGAATAGATCTTATCTGATAAACTAGTAATATCGAAAAAAATTAGTAAAAGATGATTTGATTCAGTATATTTTGCAATCTAGTTGGATGGTACTTAAAAGTAGCATGGTTCTCACATATAATGGTTTGGGATGGACAAGTAGAAACAAGAAGGTTATGATTTTTTTAAAAGTTGTTATTCATTATATAATTTATTAAACATATATTGAACTAATTCATTTTATATAATTCAAAGATTTATATAGTATTTATAATATAGGATACATTTATATAGACTTTATTAATACAAACACAAGGTTGTCCAAAAAAAAGGATAAAAATGGTTCAAAAGATCATATTTATGATGTTTTACTATCACTATATGTTGCTCTTGAGGTTTTACAAAACTAGCCAATTATGAAAACTGCTAATATTTATGACTTCAGAATTTTTATGAAAAAAATGTCAACTAAACAAAACTTTTTAATAGCAAACTATTTGATAAAGAATTTTGAAACGAATTGCATTAGTTTACAAAATAGATTTGCTTTGTATATATATATCTTAACAGTTTTTATTTTATTGTTTATATGATTTGTGCAACAAAAATAAGTTAACTAATTAGTTTTCATCAAGGACTATCAAATAGACTCATATAAGAGTTACCTTGGTAAAAATTTACAATATTACTTAAGACCAATAAAAGTGACCCTTTGAGTAATTTAGGTTTTTATTTTTTATTTTTTTATTATTAAATAAAAGATGTAATTTATAGGGATTGGGCTTGAGTAGAAATTGTTGCTATATAATTACCCAAAATGCATAATAATTCATCTGAATAACTTGGGTAATTAATAGTTATTAGGTAACTTATGATGATAGTCTGCCCAATAACAATTTTATTATTTGGCAACTATGTAGTTTTTGCTGAATAATAAATTTATTGAGCAGACGAATCTAATAATACCTAGGTAATGATTTTCTCAATAGGTCCAATCTCTAGTAATTTACAAAATATACAGGAATGTTAGCTTATAAACTTGAATACTATTTAAGTATTTTGATTAAATAAATGATTTTATGATTAAACTAAATTAATACCAATAAGGAATAATAAATAAATAGTTTATTTTAATAAGAATGAAAAAATTATTTAAGTACATTAATAAAGGATCTTACAGACTAATAAATATAAATAAAACATTGGGGATTTTAAAATTAATAAATAAGTAGAGATTTCAAAAATAAGTAGGGTTTTTTAGATAGCATTTTTACTCTGTTGAATTATAAATTAAAAAAATAAAATGTTTTTCTGATTTTAAATTTGAACCTCCATTAAATGAGATAAACAGTATATCTTAAATATTTTGATTGATAAATGATCACTATATTCATGGGCTAAATAAACATAAATAGGCAAAAATTAAAATGATAGTTGAGTAGATAATTGCTATGCTTAAGTCAAATCAAAACAAGAATTAAATGAGTAATAATTTAGAAATTATAAAATAGCATATTTAATAAAATTAGTAATTTTCAGAGCATTTAAACTAGAAAATTAGAATCTGATAAGTCTGAAGAAAATAATATTTTATTTTTATTTACATATAATTTTTGGATTGGAAATAGTCTCCTGACTGTTAATTAGTAAATTTATAGAATATTATATATAAATAATTTTTATCATAGTGTAGCAAATAGTTCTACATAGCAAAATAAATTAATTTTGTAACTTGCAAATTACATATGTATATTCAGAGTTGGGTCATCAACTAAAAATTTACTGGTCAAATTGGTCTGATCAAATTAGTCAAGTAGACCAATCTATTAAATAAATAATTTTGTTATACAAAATAAATATATATGTACTATATATATATATTATATATTTAAACATTATTATTTGACCAATTTGACCAATACTAAACCCTTTGACCAACTGGTCAAATTGGTCAAATTGGTCAAATTGGTCAAATTGGTCAGGTCAAGGCTGGTTCATGCCAACTTTGTATGTATTATAACATTTTCTAATTCATTTATATAATATATATGACCATTAGATAGATGCCAAGCTAGTAGTACTAACAACTGGATTAGCCAGGCCAACTGAGTTACTCAGATTATTAGAAATAACCTAGTTTATGATTTTGCAAACAAGTACCTGGTGCTTAGGTTTTATGTCAAGTCTTACAAGTTCTCTAAACAATACATAATTGCATCTAACAATCAATGTCTATAATAACCAGTTTTGATCCAATATGATTTACAATAAATAATTATTTTTGAATAATGCATATGACATAAAAAAACTATATCGATATATATATTATCGATTTACTTGGCATGCACTATCAACTGCAGTACTCTTGATATATACTATTCAATAAGCTATTAAATTTATTGAATAGCATCATCAAATATTAATTACTAGGAAGGATACTATAATAGGAATTGTCTCAGGTCAGTAGTAAGCAGTTCAGTGATTAGTTTAAAGGTATAATTTCTATTTTAAATTTTATATAAAAGCTTTTTTGATATTTAGATTATAATTAAACTATTAATGTATAACAGCAATATCTGACAGAATTACTACCTTTAACAGATTTCAAATATCGTTCTAAATCCCTTTTTTCATTTTTAGAAGTGCTGATGAAATTTTTCGATATTGCTTTTCTGCTTCTGCCTTCAGCAAATTTAAAATATTTTTTTATTGTTCTAATCAATAAATGTATAGTTATTAGAATTTAAAAATAATATCTAACAAAAAAACTAAATTACATATTAATGCTTAAGTAACTTATGATTAAAAGACAAAACACAAGACAAAAATTCTTTAAATCTTTACATAAAGTACATAATTCATAATATAGTTATTTTTGTAAGATGGGCATGAACTTCCTATATACATTGCTTTAGAGCGATATGTTTTTTCTAATCCATCATATTTATACCACCCTATATTTTTAACATTCTTAAGGCAGACATCTGCGATGTGGTAGTTACTATCGCAAAAAAAAACTTTTGTGAAACAATATCTAAAATAAGTAGTACAAAAAAAAAGCATTTATAAAGTTGATAAATAGAATAAAAACTAATAACAACCTTTACCTTTGCTTTATATCTACATCTTCTAAAGAAAAATTAATTTCTTCTAGAAAATCTTTATTTTCAAGATATGTTCTTTTATTAGTAATACTAATGTCTGTAATATTGATTACAAGAATCAAGGGCAGCCACTAATCAATGTATCTTGTTGATTTAATCTTGCCATTGCACAGATATAAATATCTAAGAAAATATTAGAAAGTAGAAAGGAATAAATAAAAAATAAAAATAGATCACTTAACTTTATATTTCCAGTCTCTACTGAACTATATTTATCAATCTTAAAAGCATTTTCAGGAATATTTATTGATCCTTTTTCATTCATGGTTTTGAATTCTGCTCCATATAGGCCAATGCAAGGTTTTTGCTAATTTTTAAGACATATTTCAAAGTAGCTACTTTTTTGTAGCACAGGTGCTTGTGTTTTTCGATATATATTTATTTATAAAATATAATTATAAAAAATAGACAAAAACAATAAAAAAAATTTGTTATATATTAAATTAATATAAAGGTTAAATTAATAACCCAAGATGGCACAAAATGAAATATTAAATAGTTATATAAGTATAATATCATTAAAATTTGCTGAATGCAAAGCTTTCTTTGGGCAGTAGTTCGAATCATATATAGATGTTATTTTACTTCCAATAACAAGAAGATTTCAGTCCAGAGAATCATGAAAAATTGTTCAAAAAACCATTCTGAAAGTTCCTCAAATAAATTTATTTATCAGTTTTTGCTAATCGATATATGATGGCAAGTTTTTAATTCAAAAAAACTTAGCCTCTATTCACTTTTTCTGTTTTATTAGATCAAAAACTTGAAGAAGAAGGTGAATACGTGAATTTGAATCAGATAATGCAAAAGCAATAGCTTGTTTATAAATATTTTGGTGAGTAAAAGTGCTTTGCATAAGTGTAAGACTTGTATCCAATGGGCATGTAAAGGTTAAATATAATGTGTCTTTCTTTCCTTTATATAGCATTGTAAATACAACAATATTTCTATAAGAATCCTTAAATGATGATATGGGCTTCACCTAATATTAATTTATAAGATATATTATTCAAAAATTGAAATTTTAATAGCATTATTTGACCTTCTGACAAGGCATCTAGGGCAACTACCAAAAAACCTAGGGTCTGCACCATAGCCACAGCTATTGTGTTAATCACATGATCTGGATTTTTGGTGGTCACACTGAATGCATCTTAATTAACATTCCCAAGTAATTAGTACTGCAGAATTTTTAAAAAAAAAACAAAAACAAAATTACAGTTATCTTTTGATTTTTTTTTTACTTGTTCATCAGCATACTTGATTATATTAGCCATTTAAATTATGCATCGATCTATATCACCACTGTTAAAGGTAACATCTACAATAACTCTGCTCTCACCAATAATTTCAACAATTTTTACAGTTTTATAAGGCATATTTAAAATTGTATTTTGGAGGTGAATAGATTTACCTAGCAACAATCAACTTTTTCTTTTATTTTTAGGACCTTTTTTTTCAGATAGTTTGAGCTCATCTTTCTTGTTACTATTAGCATCTTTTTGGCAAAGATAAGATTCGAGAGAACTGCTTGTAACTGATTCATTTGCAGACCTATGCATAATATAGAAAAAAGTAAGGTATTTTAGTATAGTATTAAATTAATTGTGCAATACAAAAGTTTTTATTCACAGCACAGTTTAGTAAAAAGATTCATAAATATTCAATCAAAATTTTCTCTAATTTTAGATTATATATTACTAGGTTAAATATGGGTTTATAAATGTGAAAATCATGAGTTAACTACTAAAATAAACAAATCACCTTAATGATTCATTTAATAAAAGCATATGGATTCGATATAACATATATCCATTACAATACTTATCCTTAATATCGTATCGTATGCATTATACTCTCTAAGTTTCAAGATAAAGGTAAAAAATTAGGCATGTCTCTATAGGCATGCTCTGAGTTAAAATATGTTATTACAAATGTGCTATGAGTTAAGGTATATTCATGCCTCTGTGCCTTGAACCCTATGCATTTATTACATAAAAAAAGTTTTTTTTTTTTACTATTGCAACTTGGGTTTATCATGAGAATTAAAGGTATTGCTATAAAAGAAGAAGTTAGAAACACTAATATATAGAAAGAAGTAGTAAAATTAAACAAATAATACTTACATAAAAACTACATGGGCAAGCAAATTTTCTACTTCTACATATAATATATAATGTTTTGTTTTGCTTGGTGTCACACTTGTTAATTAAGTTTTCTTTATTAACTAGTTTAGCAGCATTGTACTGGGAGTTGTTTTCATTAACATCTAGTTTAGCAGTATTATACTGGGAGTTCTCTTTATTAATATCTAGTTTAGCAGCACCATAGTGAATATTAGCATTTATATAAAACTGAGACACAATCCAAGTATCCTGATCAATTTCTGGTTTTAAAAAAAAAATTATTGCAAACATAAATATACAAATAAAAAACACAATACAATCCCAATTGACAGTTCCTATAAAGACTAAGCATATACTATATAGCACTATCTATAGTACCCTTAGTATTATTCAAAAACTCCTCAGATTAGCTTGTAAGAATACTATTCAAAAAATATTAGCATTTGTAATTAAATAATATCTCAGTACTGTAATAGGAAGATAATTTTTAATAGAACACTAGACAGTGCTATATGGTAGTAATTTACTATTTTCATACAGCCTATAATAAATTTTAAAAATCAAGATATCATATTAGCATAGATGTGCTTACCTTGAACAAGATTTTTTTTGTATAATAATTCTCCTATTGTGTTTACTTTCTTTCTTTCTTATTGCAATTTCAAGGTCATAGAAGGTTTACCTTCTTCTTACCAAAACCTTATAGAATAATGTTTTATATTATATCAATTTTAAAAAAGAAAAGACTAGATTTATCTTTCAATTTCTCTACTATTCACACACATTAATGTCTCTATTTTTTCGAGGTTTGAATGTAGAGATTTGGTGTATCTTCCTTGATAATATAATATTATATCCTTTTTAAAATAGCTTTCTAATAACATATTCGTTTTTATAAAACAATTAATATATTTAAAATCTGGCCATGTATCTGTTATAGTATTAGTATAATGTAAAATAATACAAAAAAAAAAAAAAAATTTATATCAATTAACCCAATCACCAAACCAATACTTTTGAAAATAAGATGTGATAGTCTCTGCAACTACTAGGCTTGTAATTTCAATAGCAGCTTGAAGCTTCTTTATATCCAGAGAGTATTCTTTTATTAATTAAATTTTTCTTGATCTCAGGACCATTTAACAAATCGAAATTGATAAAATACTCAGTCCCTAAGTCACTGATCATTTAAATTTTTTGTAAACTATTCCTTAAGTGAATCAGCTAAAAAAAGAAAAGAACATTATTGCAAAAAATATAAAAAAAAACTTGTAAAAAAGTAGGGTTATTGGTGCAAGCAAAATTTTGGTAGCATATATGAATTTATATAATAATTTAATAACATGTCAGTGGCATACTATTAAAATTTGCTTTAACCAACAACTCTAAAACTAAGAAACAATAAAAATTTATAAAAATTCATCCTCATGCCAGTCACACAAGACTACTTGTGAATTAGGAAAATGGTTCCTAGCTGCTACTAGATAAGGTTCCTATTTGTCCATGGCCAACCACTTAGGGTTCAATTAGATATTATTCTCGATACTATATTGAATAAACTTCAAAAAACTAAAGTTATAGAATGTCTAGCTAAATTTATCAGAAAACACAAATACTTACTGACTCAAACATAAGATCAACAACTGGTATTGTTTCCTTATTACTCACAAATGTTGCTACAACTTGACCACAAGGTTCATCTGACCTAACCATGAAGGCTGTATTTGAGAAGTTTAAGCTATTATGACAACTAGTAGAATCTAAAGTTAAGAAGTCTGGATATTTAGTTAAAAAAACTAGCATAATTGTGGAGACGATACCAAGAAGCACAGCTTGTTCTTTGGAATCTTGGGTATTCTTAACACTATATTGTTTTGATATAACAGTTTTTTCAGCCTCATAATTATCTATTATAGAACAAATCTATTTACCAAAGTAAATAAATAAATAAATAAACAAATAAAAAAAACTCTTACTTTTTCAAATTCTGATATGCACAGATTATGCAGCATTTTATCATACTTGAGGGCATTTTGAATTAGTTTAAGATTGGATACAAATTGGATAGATATTGGTTGTACTTGGTTTGACAGAATATTAAGGGTTTTACTAAGAGTCTTTGAATTATTTATAAGTTCTAAAAAAAGATTATTAAATTAAAATCTGAATTTCTAAAGTTTTTTTTTTTTGTTTTTGTACTCACCTGTTATCAACATTGAAAAGGTAATACTTGCTATTCTATTTGTAATCTTTTTTCTTATTGAACTTGATATTCGAAATGGTTTTTTCTGAACATTATCAGGGTCATGATTCTCATGATGTTTGATATTATATAGGTTAAGTGGCTTGTTTTGTAGAACTGAGATATGACCTTTCCAATTATATCTTCCTTTGTGGCAATCATTTTTTAAGAAATATGGTTAGTATTTTATAAATTCTCTAAAGATAGACAAATATATAGGCTGCTATCAATAAAAATAAAGTAGAATTAACATTTTAAAAAAAATCAATACCTTAACTTTATGGATAAATTTTAAAGTTATTTTGATTATTTAATATTGAGAATGATGCTGAAATTTTTGGGTTTCTATTTAAAACTATCTTTATGAAAAAAAATATATTGAAATTATCATGAATTAATACTTAAATTTTTCAGTATAAAATTCTATATAGAATTATATAGAATTGACTGCGAATTCTGTATTACTTGATACAGAATATTTATACAGAAACTTTTTTATTAATAATTTAAATATTATATATTTTATTAAGTTTTATATATAATAA